TTATTTTATTGCACAGCACTGCCCTAAGGCAGCACTGGCAGGGTCGCCATGTAATGTGGGGACCGGGAGTTGACAATAAAAGAGTGTATACTGTGCGATGCGAGTATATTGTGTGTGTCAGTTTACGCAGCAACGTCAAATATATAGGTTTGGCGCGTACACATACTACAGTTCAGCCAATATTTTGTCCTTAGCATAATATGCTACGTCATGTAAAAATATTAAGATCTTCAATGTCAGGCGATTAAATCTCATCATTTCAGATGCTGCTGTTCCATAATTGCAGTCAAGTATAATAACTCTATTAAACCCCATGAGTGGTCCCACGTGTGTATAAATAAAATAAACTGCAGTAGCATTTAGTCTTACTTAACCAAGCTGTAGCATATCCCTTTAATAATTACTGATCAGTTTCTCTTGTCGGACAGCTTGGCGGGCATGTCCCGCAGCGTGACGGTGGCGGTGGCGTACATCATGTCAGTCACAACGCTGACATGGCGGGAGGCGCTGAAGGTGGTGAGGGCAGGACGAGCGGTCGCCAACCCCAACCTTGGGTTCCAGAGACAGCTGCAGGAGTTTGAGACTTATAAGCTGGTTGAGGTAAGCATTTGAGGTGGTTTTCCTTTGATTAGTTCTTCAGAACTCTAGCCACACTTTCAGATGTTAGGTCGCTGAATGGCGCGAGACGCTGAAGGTGGTGCGCGCCGGACGAGCACTCGCCAACCCTAAACCTTGGGTTCCAGAGGCAGCTGCAGGAATTTGAGACTTATAAGCTGGTCGAGGTACGCATTTGAGGTGGTGTTCCTTTGATTAGTTCTTCAGAACTCTAGTCACTCCTTTGGATGTCAGTCGCTTGACGCCGCTGACAGAGTCTCGCGGTGCTGAAGGTGTACAAGCTGGTGGAATTGCGTTCAAACACTTTAGGTATAGACAAATAAAAAAGACAGTTAATTGAGTACCCTGGTTTGTCAGAATGCTGCTGCTGCATCAAAATTCCAAGAAAAAAAAGGGTTCAATAAAAATTACCTACCTTCTGTCTGCAGGAAAGAAGAAGACTAAAAGAGAGGTATCCATCGCTGGCGCTAGCCGACCGAGACCTCTCCGAGTGCAGAGTGATGCTGGACTCTTACCAAACCATGCTAAGCGAACGAACCATCTGCGAGGGAAAATGCGCCATGGGCCGACAATGTCCTACCGGTAACGTGTATTAAGTAAGGCTGGATTCACACACTCGATGAGGTAATGATGAGGCAGTTCTAAGACATAAGAGATTCTTCAAACGAGTGTGTGGAACCGGCTTAGCATTTGCTTGATTCTCTTCTGTGAAGTGGGTAGTTCTGAAAGTGCGTGCATGCTTGATTCACCAGGACATGTTAAGGGCGCCGACAGTCCCCGATCGACGCGCGCTGTCTCTGCGGGATCTCCTCGGTAAAAACAAAAGAGAGAAGCTTTATTTACGCTTTGTTTGTTAGATGTAGCCAGCTCATGTTACAACGAAAGGCGCTGGATAATAATTAATTTATCTATTATTAGTTTTCGTGCATCTGCAATGCTGTAAAGAAAGACTTTTAACCAATCATCTTTGTAAATATTTTCAGTCCTGAAGTCTTTCTAAATGACTTAATCAGATACCTTCAGCTCTGAACCTTTCAAGCGAATCCGATAATCATTCTTCTTCTTATCTGATCAATTATATTATTCAAAATTTAGATAAAGAAAACCAACAGCCTAAGCCTCTTTCGTTGTCGACTTTTCATCCATCAACAGATTTTATCACTCGAGGCCAAGCAGTATCTGAAAGTACAGCAAGATACTTGTACACCATCGCATACGTATGTATTTATAATTATGTGTATGTTTCTAATTATATGATAATAATTATTGTAAATTACAGTCATGGACAAATGAAAGACCTTTAATTTAGAGACTCTACAAATTTTTTCATGACTGGTATTCATTTAGCACTGTTGGGTTGGGTCAGCTTGCTAGGTTGGGTATTGTATTGCAATAAGAAACATAGTTAATTGTCACTTACACACATGCACATTTACAGTACCTGTGAGTATTTTCGCTATACAAATCTCATGACACTTTTGCTTGATAACACATATCTATCGATTCACATGCTTTATAAATAAATATATTTTATCTTATAGATTTACCTGTACAAAGTCTACTCGCATTATATTTTTCAATACTAAATCAATACAAAAGGTAAACATATTTTGCATGGTTGATACATACAGAAAAACAATGGTAGGTACGAAATAAAGCATCCAAGTAAAAGCCCTTTCACGGCAACAAATCGGCAGAATTTTTCATCTCCTGCGATTTCGTTATTTTTCCTCTTTTCGTTATTTACGAGACAATTGTAACCCAGTTTTTTTCTATTTTTCTTTCGGATTGTATTTGCCTTGAACTACTTAGTTGCATGAATAACAATGAATACGAATTGAACTATGTTATCAATGTACTATAGACAAGCCATTGTAAATCAGTATTTAAAACTTGGCGAAGAGGTTTCAATGTAGATGTGCATTTTGTAGATATCCGTAGATTTCTCAGTCACTTCTATTTAAAACCGATCTAATTTATAGATTTTGAGTCCATATTTTATAATAAGTAATAACTATCGTGTATTCTAACAACAAACAAAGCTTTAAATTAAAGACAAACTTACACAAATTCCTCAACAACAAAACTCTTCATAACTTACACAACGACATAAAGTTTACATTGCCCCACATCACAAAACGGTGCACGTGCCTTAAAATTGGGTTACACTAAATTCAGAAGGGAAACTTTCTTGAAATTCGTGACATTTAAGTATCCCCATGACAGTAGATATGCTATTGAAAGTTCTAAGTTGACTCGGATGTGTCCAATAGTGCTTCAGGCTGTGACAATGGCAGCAGAGACAAAATAATGGTTGTGAGAGTTGGAGCAACTGAAATTCCCGTCACGTCTCTTGTATTTAGTTTCACTCAGGTGTATTCTTGGAGAAACTAAATCGAATAATGCATAATAACATCTGCATCAACTCAAATATCTAAAATGGTGTATTTATTTTATCAAAAATATTTTTATTTATTAATTGGCAGTTTTATTTTATTTTATACATTTTAGAAGTGTGTGTGTTGAATTCGTGAACCTTAGATCAGTCGCGAATTACATGCTCGTATTACAAAATTATTAAACCTAGTGTAAATGTATGAGTAAAGGCAGCTTGCTTCCGTTTGATTATAGTCATTGATTAATTTGAGCTAGACAAGGTTTGAAAAAAAAATCCAAACATAAGACTAAGATCTACTTAGGTACTTACTTATCTAGAGGTGATACAATTTTGTATAATGCTTACAATAACATTGTTACTTAATATTTATGGTTTTACCATTTGTCACGCCAGGAGTGTGCAGAACAGGGTCGAAGCGTCAGCCTCGAGCTCGCAAGCCATCAAACGCGTCCACAGTGGGTGACGTCAGCGGTGGCCTCAAGAGATCGCCGTCGACACTGTCCACCACCTCCACTGCCTCAGGGTACAGGCCTCGGTCCTCGCCCGCCGGCCTCTACAGCTATACTGGTGGTGAGCTCTAGTCTTCTTACCGTTCTTAGTAAGCCATCAAACGCGTCAGCAGTGAGTGACGTCAGCGGAGGCCTCAAGAGATCTCAATCCACACTGCTTCAATCAATCAACCACCTTCAATGCTTCAGGGTACAAGCTATTCTTCGTTAGTGGTGACGTAAGACCACGTGTCACCGCTCCTCGCGCGTCTGCCATATGCCACAATCTTAGGTGGAAGAATGAATGAAGCGTAGTATCATAATTATGTGAACTTTCATACTGTAATATCTTAGAGAAACAGAAGTGTTCAACTGTTTTAAATATTGTATTTCTTCACAGCGTATTCATTAATTTCAAGAATGAGGGTCAAGTAAAATAACTCGACCCTTATTCACGTCACATAACTTCACGGTTTTCAAAACAACAATGCACTTAAGAAAAAGCTATGTCTATTGTTGTAAGAAAACGTCTAGAAATATGATCGCCATTGTGATACAAAATGATACCCACGCCAAACACGCACTTAATATCGCCTTGTATCTTTACTTTAAATTAAATTACACATTGAATTTTGTGAGAGTATAATTTTTGGGATTCCAAAATAGGTAGGTACTTGCTAGGTATTGAATTTTAAAGTTTATTATGTACTATCGGGGACTCTTCCGCCTGACCACTTTGTAGAAATTTTGGGTCCATATTGGCTCACCTAAAGTTATTTACCCGAAATTGTTCTTCTCAACGATTTTAAATCCGAATGATCACTCTTCCTAAAATTTTTCATCCTAAAGTTTTCATTCATACTATTTGTAGTGCTACTGGTGATGTTCATAACACTCATGTTTCCGNAAAAAAAAAACTATAAAGCAAACAGATGGACTGGGTAAGACACCACCGCCCAGCGGTGTACTCAAAAAATGCTATCCGAAGGTTCGAATGTAGCCATCCCTCTCACACTAAGCGAGATGCCGGGATGAGCGACGGCGACAGATGCTTTGACAACTCCGCGGTGTACTAAATGCTAGGAGAGACGCCGCCAGACGGCACTCGCTTCGCGGATTGTGTCAAACGCATCCTCCGCCGCGAGGAAAACTGGAACACCTGGAAGAATGATGGATGTCCAGGTAAAGTCTTTAAACTGGAGGTACTTGGGCTGTACTGGTGAACGCAAATACAGTAGCAGTACAGCTTAGCTTACGCCAATACAAGTAATGACAAAGTTACCATGCTACCAGCTTACTCCACTGTAAATAAAGTAAGGTCCTACTGTTACTCTTATAATTCGCTAGGGGGCGTCTAATTACGTAAGACGTTTAGGGGGGAGCAAGTTAAGAAAAACCTTAACAAATGTCACGTAGGAGGAAGGGCCCCTCCCTTTCTCCTACGTGACATTTGTCGGCAAATATCTCGTAATTTTTTTCAGCAAGATATTTTGTTTCAGAGTTCCAAAAACCCAAGCCCCCAGTCCAGACTGACTCATCGGATGACATCAAGAAGGCGAAGAAACGCCGCCGTCCGGTCGGCGACATTATCAAGGAGTATGAAGGGCAGCAAAAATTCTTTATGGGAAAGTATGTGTTAAATCACGCCCGTATTCACAAACGACGGCTTAAGTGAAGCAGCAAATTTTAACGTTGAATAGAGCTCTGTGATTGGTTTGTGTGGCCTCATAGTAATGTTTGTGAATACGGGCTTAGTGTGCTTACCATGAGTTTACGTTAGGTGTGGTCGCTGGGTCCATATTGGCTCACCTAAAGTTATTTACCCGAAATTGTTCTTCCTAACGATTTTAAATCCGAATGATCACTCTTCCTAAAATTTTTCATCCTAATGTTTTCATTCATACTATTTGTAGTGCTACCGGCGATGTTCATAACACTCATGTTTCCGAAAATTGTAATTAATAATATCATTTATGTAAATATATTTAAACTCCTACTGTTTTTTATCATAACACTTTTATCCCTAAACTATAAATACTACGTACAGAAGTAGGTACGTTCTTCGCGAATGNATAACACTCATGTTTCCGAAAATTTTAATTAATAATATCATTAATGTAAATATATTTAAACTCCTACTGTTTTTTATCATAACACTTTTATCCCTAAACATATAAGTACTACGTACAGAAGGTTTTCTTCGCGAAGGTAACGTAAGGTCACAGTTCTAACCTAACCTAAACCAATAATTATTATGATTAGGACCGATTCGTTTTTGGAACTTGACTGAAGTATACGTGTTAATGCCAACAAACTTGAACTTTAATATATCGTCAAAGAAAGAAATCTAAACAAAAAAGATATGACTTTGAATAATAGTGTAAAATATGGTTATGTTTAGAAAATCTAGGAGAACAAATAAAAGTATAATAGATGTTTATTGCTAATGACATTATGAAGTTGAATGATTCGGAATTATGAACATTAGAGACAGAGTAGTTAGGAATTGTGATTGTTAGGATGAAAAATTTTAGGAACAACATTTTCGGACTTCCAATTTTCGGAGTTGAAAATTTAGGTGAACTTTGGCGCACCCGTGCTCGCTAGCTGCTAGATTGCGTCAAAAAAGTATGAAGATTTTAGTTCTTTAAAGTAGCCACTAGGGGCGCTGTACAATTTGTCATGCATGTAATGTTTTTTTTTTACGCAGTCACTAGTGAGCACACCTAACGTAAACAGAACTCATGGTAAGCACACTGCTCAAAATTGATGAGAGAATATACAGAGGCAATAAAATAAAATGTTTTCTTTCCAGCAATGAACTTACAAAGCTGTGGAATCTATGCCCAGATAACTTATCCGCCTGTCGCACCAAAGAAAGAGACTTCATGCCGTCATTAGGTGAGTTGATTTTTTTTTAAGTTTCCATTCTCCAATAATTCTAAAGCACAACTTTTTTAAGAAGACACTTCTTTCTTGTCCTAAGAACTTAATTCATTTTTAATTACCTGTAAATTAGGATTTTTGTTTGCATTTTAATTGAAAAAAGTAGTTTCATTGAGCTGACAAAATTGTGACGTCACATGCTAGTATTGCCGTACAAAATCTATGGGAGAGTCTCGTTTTGACCGTTATAAAAAGTACGTCAATTGATTGGTGGTGTCAAATACCCTATTACGTTCTTCCTTAGAGTCCTACATGCTAAGTGGAGCTGGTACGGGCGGCAAGCGAACTAACAGCGGCGGGTGGCGCCGCTCGCTGCACTTCTTTATTTACTTATATTAGTGTAATCTGTGTGATGACAGACAGAGACAAAAAGATCGAACTCTTTTCTCTGTCGCGGCGCGAACCGCCGCCTTAGTATCGCGTTTAAGTCTGCACTGCACAAGCATGAACCTAAACGGACAGCCCCGGCTCGATTGATGCAGACCGTCCTATTTGCATTCGGTCCCATATGATCTACATCAAGCCGGCCCCGACTAATGACCTAATAATGATGGTGGTGAAGACGATAATGATGATGGTTTCTCCTTCCTTCGAGTCGTACATGCTAAGTGGAGCCGGGATGGGCGGCAAGCGTACTGCGGCGGGTGGGGCTGGCCCGCCGCTCGCCACACTTCTTTATTTACTTGTCCTAGTGGAATCTGTGTTAATTTCAGTCTTTTGTCTATCGCGACGCGAACCGCCGCCATAAGTGTCTCAGGCTTAAGTCTCTTCAGAAGCATATCGGCCGGGCCCGGCTAGTGATGATTCTTCTTTCCTTTCTTCCTTAGAGTCGTATATGCTAAGTGGAGCGGGCACTGGCGGTAAACGAACTAACTGCGGCGGGTGGGGCTGGCGCGCGCTTCGTCTACTGGCGCGTCGCTCGCCGCACTTCTTCGTGCACACAAACAACCCTATTGGACGCCTGCCCGACTATCTGGATGACATGGTGAGTGTTACAGAGACGTACAGGGAGCTTAGTGCGAGTTTACATCGAACTTACTCAGTAGTGAGCGCGTTAGCAAAATGTATTAAAAATTTCAGTTCTTGGACGTTGCCGCTAGGGGCGCTGTATAATCCGTCATACATTTAATGTCTTTTACGCGCTCGCTAGTGAGGACGTTTCATGTAAACTCACACTCAGCCCACTGGAGCCTTAGGCGAATATCACACTGCACCGCGCTCCGCCGCGGTCCGCGTGGCGACATATAACGAATCCCGCGCGCAAACGCGTTGTCAGTGTGTTGTGCCGCGCGTGTTTTCTATACAAACTGAGGTACTTGCATATAATGATTAAATCTGTCGTCCCGCGTACCGCGGCGGAGCGCGGTGTAGTGTGATAATCGCCTTAGTGCGAGTTTACATCAAACGTCTTCGCTAGCGACTACGTAAAAAATTACATTCAATGTATGACGGATTACAGCGTCTCTAGCGGAGAAGAAGACTTTTAGGAATTAAAATATTCATAGATTTTTGACGTACTCGCTAGTGACGACGTTCAATGCAAACTCGCACTAAGCACCGAGCGAAATAGTGATGGGAAGCGCAGTTGCAGGCTGTATCTGTTCATAGACGCGGAGCCAAGCAAGAAAGTATGCGGAGTGGAACGAAAAATAATGCGAAGTGATTTAAAAAGTATGCGGAGCAGGTGTTTGGACTGTTTTTTCCATACCGGAGCTAAGCCGCGAGCACGCTACGAGTCATTTGATTTTCCCACTTGTATCTCCGCTCCGCTTCCTGATTTCAATTTTTGAACTAACACGCAATTTCGCTCATCGCTCCGCTTCCGTGAACCGGTAGCCTAATGAGAGCTAGCACTTACGAGTTGGCGCCACTGCTGAGTTACAAAACTTGACTCTACAATGCGCCACCCTAGTAAATGCAAAATGCAATAGTCCCCTTATACACCGCTTTGGCGCTAATCAATTGACTAGACTCCAGTCCATTTGCGATTGACATAACTTACTTTACATGCCTACTTTACCTCTTACATTTCTATCCTGGCCACGGGCGATTGACAAATCCTTACTTTACATATCTAATTATTAATTGTTTCAAGGTGGACCGCGTGACGCGAGAAGTGGCAGCGAATGCCGCAGCAGCGAACAGCACCAACGGCGACTCGTCAAGTCTCTCCAGCGACAAGAATGCCAAACAGGTATGCGAGTAAATAGAATAGAATGGATTTATGTATCAGAAAACAGTTGTAATATACCTACCATCACAAAATAGTAAAAGTAGGCTAGATGACAAAATTTCAATTATTTGTCCGTCACAGACATTTAGAAAATATTACTCATATTTAATTATTTTCTTTCATAATTAAATAATAACAGTGCTACATCGAGTTGTTATGACGCGATACGTCACGCTTGAGTAGATTTTTTACTCAAAAGTGACGTCACGCGACATTTCAACTCAATATAATACCAGGCCTGTTCATCTCCGTGAGTTTACATCGAAAACAAAACACGCACGATGGCCCACCTACAGGATACTATTCGACAAGGCCTCACATACGAGCGAACATTGACTCACGCACGCGTATTCTTGTGTATGATGGAAGAAAATAAAGAAAATGGTGTACTAAATACTGTGCAGTATTTTACTGCCTAAATAATAATAAAAACACAGACACATTTTTTTCTTTTAAGTTGCCTCAAGATACTGAGAGGTAAATATAAGTAGTTAATATTATTCATGATAATTCATGCTAAATCATGTATTTCCTCCGCCATTTTCCGCAGTTTGGCACCTCACGTAACATCATTTTACCGAAGTCAGACCTATAGCTTCGGCGCAGTGCCGATCACTGACGTTTGTCAACAAAATGGTGCTTGACTCTTGAGACAAGCTAAATTACANTGCGTAATATGGATAACCTTGAAGTGTCATACGGATCATCTTACGTGAAAAAGACTATAATGTATTTTTCGAATAGAAATACTAAGGGTTCGGACAATATTTTCATTGATTAATGTTTCCGACAAAGGTTGTCAAATTGACTGACATGTTTATCGTATGGTACAGTCCACTATGAAAATTAGCTGTAGTCTGTTTCAACTACCTATTTTAAAGTTTTTTGTTACTTTCTAAGTTTTGAATTTTATGGAATTGGGAANTACAATCACACACCAAACGAAATAACAACCCAAGAGGTGTACCTAATTGTATATTTTAGGCTTCCTATTTTTAGGCCCGAGTTGACGGAGTCCAAATACAAAGTTGAAGGTATCGAAAATCCGTTACTTTTATATTTAGATTATATTAATAGGTAGCACTTTGTATTCTAACTTTTAATTCTTCAGTCGACATCTGTTTTAGCTTCCTGATGAATGTACCAATATATTGTCCGTAGCTTTAATTTGGCAGCATCCATTGGAAAGATACTAATTGCCTCTGTAGCCTTTGTTGCGGTACGACGCGGGACGCTTTATTTGACCTAAGTCCAAACAAGCCGGGAAGAAAATAAACTGCCAGTTAGGATGAAATAGTGTGCTAGTGCAGTTAATTGCATTGTCTTTGCAGCCTAATTTTGTGAGCCTAATACTGACGTCATCACTTTAAAACTAGTATTATTCTGTGGTTTAACCTAGGTAGATTACCGTACCTGAAAAGCCCATGCTTAAAAAATACATAATAAGTAGGTAAGTAATAGTATTACTTACTTGATAACGTTTAAGACTTCTCCTTCGTACTACTAATTTTATTCCGTACTTCAGTATCAGTCTGTATCAGCGTAGTCTGACCTAGATCTACGTATTGAATTTTATATTTTAAACTGATGAAAGTCGAAGGGTCATCACTTACCTACAGAATGTAGAAATAACGAAAGTAGTCCGTGAAAAGTCTTCAGCTTAGTAAAACTGGCTTTTTACGAGTGCCGGCCGTGTTTCATTTAGGTTGAGTGACGGCAGTCAATTGTAACGGCTGTTTTACCAGTTTTTAGCACGCTTTTAGATCGTTTCCCTACTGCGTATTGCGGTATCAACATCCAAATACTGACTGGAAACAGATAAGTGTACTCGTATGTTAGAAAATATCATGGTAATAACCTAAACCGTCTGCCCATTAATGTGTGAGACAGTTGAAGATCAGCGCAATGCGATCTGTTCAATCGATTTGATGTGAGATTGACGTGACATTTTCAGTGTGACGTCACAACCAAGACGCATAATAAACGGCTGGTTTTTGTCGAACCATTTAGTTTCTATCCTATAGATCAGCAACCACCAATGGAACTTCGGTCTATTCAGTTCTATTTTATGAGGTTCCGCTAAAACTCACGCGGGTCTATATCAAAAATATATGAGTAGCACATGCGTGACATGCGTGTGACGTGTTTCCAGTTTTCCACGCACGCGGCGGGAGGAGCGCGCACGCCTCGTAAGGGAATTCCCACATAACATCTGTGAGCATTCCCATGCATCAATATAAGGCGGGTTTTGCACCCGCGCAAGATTTAGCGTAGGCTCTTAATCTTTCATTGTCTTCCAGCTCCATCTCGACCGTCCCGTTCTGCGTCTGGGCTAAGCGTGACCCGGGTGACGGACCCGATCGGCGGCGGCACAGCAATGGCCGTCGGCGGCACGGAATACTCCCGGCGGCGCGCCGCCTCTGCGCCGGCCACGCCGGCTCTTTCGCCCGCCTCCTCGCCACCTGGGTCACCGCATAGAGGACCACACAATAGGTAGGTCACTTTTTGATGGGATCTCAAACTCAAGGCATTTAATTAGGCACCCGGCAGAGTAGGGACCTAGAAGGTAACACAAGGAAGAGGTCCACAGAATAGGTAGGTAATTTTTAGATGGAATCTTGGACTTTGATGGCATTGACTTAGAAGGTTACACAAGGAAGGCACATGTTCGTGCAAAGCTCATATCTGGACAAAAAAGGCACATGTCCGCTTAAAGGAAAATGACATCCAGAAGGACCTTACGGCACATAAATACTTGTTGTTTTCACCACGCGATATGAAGAAAGCTTCGATGCCAAGGTACCTACACACGATATCACATCAAACTAAACACAAAGGCATTTTATACCTAAGTTGTGATAGGGCTTGCTACAAAATTTTAATAGTCTTGTGTTGTCGACTGTACCTAATTATAAATTGCACTCACTTACCGTACTTATTTTAGCTAAGTAGGTACTTCAGTTAGAACGTAATGTCCCAAACCTGCTCGCCACAGTTATTTCCCTAATTTTCCAACCATACTGCGCTATTAGAAGGTTAAATAGTCTCATTTACTGGCTGGATAAAAACATCGTTAGTGAGTGAATTGCAACATAAAAAAGGGATTTTATTTTGCAGTCTCCCGAGATTAGTACGGTCCCATTAATTAAATTGACCCTCCTGCATTGAATGAGAAATTCCGACGTTAACCTTTTTACCGAAATAAATTCTTCGTGATAAAAATTAACTCAGGCTGGTTCCAGACAATTTCACAACAATTTTTTTTTCTTTTAATATGTAGGTTAGGTCGATCTTTAGTATTCAGATTTGATGACGTTGCATTATTTTTTGTTTGTAGCTTGCGGATTGATCACAAAAATAAAATCTATAACGATAAACCGATTCTAATATAAGGTATCGAATGTTTAGTTCTATATCCACTGTAGAGCATGGTAACCATTGACCATGGGAACTATTGTAGGTACGTATCTATAAGTTGACATTCAATTTTATATTCGGGTGTGGCGAACAAAATTAATGGTCATTTACGGCTCGCAACTAAATATTTTGGGCACGCCCCAATAAGTACGAGTCCCTATTTGTCACATACTTGCTACACTGCAACAATGAAAGTCACTAAACATTAGTGCTTAGTGTTACAAGTTATGACTGATACTGTAAAATAATTTTAATTAAAACATTTTTCTGGAAAAGATGGCGTTGATACCTACTTATAAGCTAGCATGCTTGTATTACGGACTCCACTACTCTACATGCAATGCAAATCACTGATTAATTCATAAAACGCTTGTAAACCATTTTTAATCGATGCCATAGTTAGTTCATTATTTGTGCATGCTATAATAACCATTGTGTTACATTTTAATATTGTTTTAAACTTTCATGATTATGTAAACAATTGAATTAATTATCGGCCTTCAGTTGCTGAAATTTTGTTGCAATATTTAAAAAATATAAGTATAATTCTGGTATAATAATTAATTTAATTGTTTTAAATTTTTCATTATTCTCATGTTATATCACTGTTTTGTTTTATTTTATGTCACGTGATGGTTGCACACCGAAAGGTCGCTTAATGTAAAAATGTAAAGGTCACATGTCGTAATAATGCAACAATGACGTAAAGCTTAAAGTTGAACCTTGCATTCTTTATTGTCGACAAATACATTGTTATATTACAACGACCCTTGCCGATGAGTGACCGTAGGCCTAGGATGCGCGCCACGATAAACTCTTATCGCGGCATTTTATCGATTTGTCCCGATAAAACCATACATTTGTCGTCAAAAACCGTCGATAAGATTTTATCACGGCGCGCGTCTTATCCTGTGACCACTTTTCCTTTATTTTCTGTTTCTGTAGAGGCGGGTGCGCGTGGGTAATCCCGACAGTGGAGTGGCACCCCGACTCCCTGTAATCTGCGCTGCCATAATCGCCACTTCACCCCAGGTTACCGCACTTTTTGTTTCGTAACACCACATACTGCTTTAAGCGCCTCTGCGGTATTGTAATGGAGATGCTTTATTTCATTACACAAATCATTCCGTTTGTTTTTGCCAGTTTTTTTTTTCAGGATAATAATACTTATAGCCAGTTGTGTTTTAATTTAGGAAATGCATGAAAAAATTGACTGTATGTCTAACAAACATCCTTCCATCGATTCCTCGTGAAATATCATAAAACCGACTTTTTGCTATGGAACAAAGAAGATAGTGTTTAATATCTCCCCTGAGATTTTCCTGCTATTATTAAATGCTCGTTTGGTTTTACCGGTAATTTACGTAAGTAGTAACACAAAAATATGGTGCGCAGCGATTCACCGTAATTATCTAGGTAGCTAATCCTACATGTTTGCCACAAATAGTTTCTTACTTGCATATCAGAAAGTATGTAGCTGAGCGATGTAACGCATTTTCCAAGATATTTTCCACTAATCTGATACAAACTTAGCTACTTATCAGGAAGTATCCAGCTAGACCGATGTAGCGCAGTTCCTAAGATCCCTCTTTGTCCACTAATCCGCTACATTTGCAGCGCTGCGTGTTTCCGTTCCCGCGCGCGAGATAAAGGGTACTGTCATCGTTAAAAATCTTCTGTATTTCTAACGTGTTCTTCTAATTATTTGTTAAACTAAGTAGTGCCAAGTACATAATAATAAAGCCAACATCGCCAAATCGATTAACTGGAAAAGTAACACTATTCAAACTTTTGCAAGTGAAATGTTTTTACCCGACTGCGCCAGAAGGAGGGTTATTGTTGTTATTTTTTTATCAAACATTGACGAGCTTCTTTATGAAAGACAAATTGTAAATATTGATTTCCATGTAAATTCTAAAGAAAACATTGCGTTAATTTAAAAGTCGCTACGTTTGAAGTTTAAACAAAATATCCTGAAACTTAACTGAATCATAATAATAATTATACATATTTTTTCCTAAGTATTTTGAGGCCGACTGTACATAAGCCGCAAGCGGCCTTGCGTTCTAGCCTAGACACTTTTCAAATAGCTCCAAGATGGCTTAAGCTTCTGCCTCCTGAAAGATTCACGTGTAGTTTGTAACAGAATTGATTCAGCCAATAAAAATAAAAGGCAGTTGAATTTATGTCGGTGTTTTGGGTTACCAGGCTATTTCTTGTAATTTAAGTAGGTTACACTGTAAGTATTATAACTCTTTCAAATCTACAACATGATTCTAGTTTTCAAATGGACAGAGTTTTTGAATGGGACCAGAAAATACAAAAACACAACTACTAATAAAGACCGGTGTTATGTTATAATTTTCAGGAGTCAGTATTTAAATATCTCATAACAAAAGGTTCGCTTTTGTTTCTTTGCACGACGAAAAGAAAAAGATAATAAGAATAAGAACATATTTTTATCAGCATAGATAAAAATACAGTACATACATACTTATAACATTAAACTATGATCCATCTGGCCGATTTCGGCCATGGCGACCACTCCGACTCCTAGCTGTCTTGGCGGCGCGGCGCTGGTGTGCCTGAAGATTAAACTATCTATATAAATAAAAGAAAGTCGTGTTAGTTACTCCACTTATAATTCAAGAACGGCTGAACCGATTTAGCTGAAAATTGTCAGGGAGGTAGTTTAGAGCCAGGAGAAGGACATAGGATACTTTTTGTCCCGTTCGAAATTTAAAAAAAAGTCTGCTTATTTATTGCCATTAAGGCGGAACAAAGTTCGCCGGGTTAGCTAGTAAAGTAATAAAATATATTAAAAATTAATTATTCGTACCTTAATTTCCAGATCCCGCCCAGTCCAGAGGTGTTCGTAGCAGAGATGCCTCCGGCAGGCGCCCGCCCGCCCAGACTCGCCTCGGCACCACGTGACCACATAGCACGTAGCTACAGCTGTTGCTACGAAGAAATCTTGACTATTACCCCCGCTAGGTGGCGACACTGTGAGCGGTCCAAGGAGTAAGCCTGGATGACGCGCGTCAGATTGAAAGTGACTTGTTCGTTACCAGATGGATGGATGATATTATGGACAAATCATAAGTGCCCGCGCCCAGAATGCTACGTTTTGGGCGCCCTGTAACATTGTGTTAATTTCTATGCAACGAATCACATCAAGTGCTGCACTACATAACCATTTTATAGGGCACCCGAGGCGCAGTGTTCTGGGTGTATAGTTCAGGCGCCTGTTATGGCTAGTCCCGAGGGTTGATTATCTTGTGCGTGAAGCTGGAACTTGACAGATTGTCGTTGTTGAATCGCTTTGCTCTGTCAAAAGCTGTTACGCCATATGTACAGTCAAAAGTTTTTTTTGAGTCACGTATACCTGAAACTGTACTATACTCACTGAAAGTCAGAACCCAGTTAATGTCTTGTATGGGCATGGACCAGCCGGCCATGGTGTAGGTAAGGTTATGGCCGCAACAGCCGTCCGACATTTCGCGGCTACGGAGTACGGAAGCATTTTGGTGTAATTAATATTTACACGAGAATAACCACCTATAAGTGAATATTTTTCGTGAAGTGACTTTTCAGTGCTTTATGTGTTCGACCACTTTTTTTTCGTGTCTGAGGACGGGAAATAAGTTAACTGTAGTCACGTTGATGTTGTTCCGAAGATCAAATAAGTTGACTGACCATCTGGAATTCAGGTCCGTATAAGATCGGTGGTGTTGACATAGTAAAATATGAAATGTAAAACATCTTTATGGCAACGGGCTTCTATCACTTGAACGGATCGCACAGTTGTGCGGTTAAAATGAAATATGTAGATAAATATTGTCGTGAAAAAGGCCATATACTTCAGTCGTTTATTACAGCGGGACGCTATTAAACCGAACCCGATCGGCACAAGTCAAACATTTGTAGGTAATAATTCTTCGGGTCGGTTTTTCTATTCAATAAACACTGCCTGACCGACCCTTATACATTTAGGTAAAACACTCGTACACAAACACGTTTACGAGCGCAAACTCTACATGTAGGTATACCTACTTTTACCTTTACGACTACGACCCAGTG